AACCTCTCTGCTCTCTCCCGTCCCCTTCCTCACTCCAGGGATGCAACCATCCATCGTCAGAGCCGGTCACAAGCTCATGGCGGCACCCGAGCTCAGCATCCCCCCCCTCGGCTATTTAAGAGACCCCTAGGCCTCCCGACCGCCCCAGGCTCCTCGCCTCACTCCTCTAGCCCCGCCCATCAACTCCCCGAAGCTCGCGCCCCTCTCCTGCTCCTCCATCACGACCATAGCCGCCGCCTCTGTCCGCTCCAATTCCGGCGAGCCGGACCCTCTCCCTCCTTCTCTCCACCACCAGTAGACCACCCTGACACCGGTGCATCTCCCCCACCTCTCCATTCGTCGCCAGATCCACCATGGCCTCGTCTTCAGCTCTGACCGACAGCCTCATCCGCCGCCCTCCTGGCTGCCATCGCTTCGGGTCTCCTCGTCGTCCGTGCACCACCGGGGCGGATGCGCGGCGTCCTCCCGAGCCCGCTGGTGGTCCAGGTCCACCAGGGGTGGCCCGAGTCGCCGGGGAGCACCGACGCACGCGCCCAGCCGCAGCTCCTCTGCCCCACGTTGGGAACAAGAGGAGGACCCGGGGAGGAGGAGGGAGGAGACACGTGGGGCCCACCTATAAGTCTCTATGCGTTGACCAGCCTCGGGCTCGCGTGGTTTAAGTGGAAACGCATTTTGGGTATTACGTTTTCCTCTAAGGTAAGCGTTTTCTGTTAGTGCTTCAGCTCAAAATACGTTTTCCTTAGCTGAAAGCGTAATCATCAGAAATGCGCTTTCTGTTTAACCCGCCAGGGACCTTTTTGTGAATATTTCTTTTACAAACTGGTTCCTAGCATTCAACTGACTATATCTTTTCACTCACAACTCCGATTGAGGTGATTCCAAAGCCCGCATCTTTGTCTCGTCGAGAACGTTTTGATGGGATCATTTTCACCATGTGGAAACATTTTGAAAATGACCATTTTGCCCCTGCCCTTATTCAGCCCCCTCCGAGAGAGAACATTTTCCAGCGATTCTCTCCGCGAGCTTCTTGTACTCCCTATCAGTGAATCCATCCACCCCAAGCAAGCCACACCCTTCATTTGCATGAGTGCAATGCAATATCATGGTTTATTTATTTGAACTTATTTAAAATATTGCATTAGCTATGTATGATTTGTTCATGGCATTTCTTGGAGTTGTTGTGATCTTGCTACTGCCATGATGTTATTTGGATCACTAGGACTAATGCTTACAGATGGTGGATGACATGTGGCCATTGGATTATTAGTGGCTTATATTTTTTTGATATATGATATTATGCTTTGGAGTATTATTTTGGAATTGATGCTATCATGTGGATCTTAGGTTAATATCTTGATATTGTTATTGGATTAGTAGCATCATAGTCTTTGGATTCATCATGGTCTTAGTAGTATGCTACCCTTGGGGTTTATTATGAGGTGACTATATTATTCTCTGGATTATTTGTTGGATATTGTTATAACTTGGATTACAGGTTGATAGATGATATTGGAGTATCAGTTATCACAAATCTATCTTTGGGGACAAATTTCGTCATTTCGTTGGTCAGGTGCCACTGACCCGGGCTTTTCTAGTGCAACCACATTTTCCTTTTATGGGAAGGCCCTAATGCGGTTTATTGTTGTGCCTCTCGCCGGTGCCTCCAACTAGGTAAGGTTATACGTGTGCGCTACCCTGATCAGGTAGGCCAGTATAAGCCTTGTGTGCCCAAGTTGTTTGCACGGTTTTGTCCCCATTTGGGACCGTTTTTGCTTTGCCACGACGGTGGCCGTTGGATCTCCAGAGTGGCATCGGGGCCACCGATGACTTAGACCAAAGGGGAGTTGGTCGAAGTGGCGGGAGAGTGTCATGGCAGTAGATCAGTTTTGTCGGAACATCGTTGGTCCACCAGAATGGGAGTACAAGGCCATGGGTTTTGTGATGTGGGTACAGTGTGTTAACCTCTTCAGAGTGTGTGTTTAATCTATCGATAGTCGCGTCCACGGTCATGGGCATAGTTCGTACTAGGTAACACCGTTCGATCAACACTCACATGACAGAATGACTTATAGGTGACTTATATGTTGATGCTATGAGCATTAACAGTTTGGCAGGATGTTGATGATGATGTAGGGATGATCTCGAGGATGATCATTCAGTTTGCGATGTGGTCACGCGGTGATCACATGGAGGTATTGATCACAAGGTGATCGAGGAGATTTATTGCTTGGCCGAGTAGCCAAGAGTGAGATGGTTCTTGAGATGTTGGTTCATCAGTATTCTAGTAGTATCATATCATGCTTAGTTATTATTTCCACATCATAGTAGTTGTTAATAGCTTAACCTGTTAAATGCTATGTTATTGTCTTGCCTTGATGTTTTGCTTGTGAGCTTGCAAGTACATTCAATATACTGACTTGGCGTGTCATGCCAAATTTCAGGTGATGCCGTGATTGATCATTTGTCAAAGTTTCCGTACGTGTGAGCTAGATCTTGTCCCAGCCAGAGTCCTTGCGGAGTGGAGTTCACCACATTCGTCGTTGTTCCGCTCTACGAGTTGTTCCGCTGCTAGCATAAAGCTACCTTAGCATGCGTACTGTCACAGTGATGATGTGATCCTTTGTAATATCAGACCCTTGTATTCATTATCCTTTGTAATAAGAGTTGAGTTATTCTATGTCAAGCAGTGTCGTATTTCAGAAGACTTGATCTTTGGGCTGGAATACGGGATGCTCCTGTTCCTCTGAGTCGGGGTGCCACAATTTCTCTTTAAACTTGCATACAAATGGGGTATGCATGTCTATTCTATGAACATAATAATTCAAATAATGATATTTCGAGCACATACAGTTGAACATAATTTAAAAGCCACAATTTATTAAATTCAAGTAAAGGTAAAAATTCAAAGTGAAACGTAGCAAATCCTTGAAATGTTTCAAAGTAAACATAACAAATGGTCCAAATGACTCGAAGTAAACATAACATGCAACATATGATTCACCTAAACATGCAGATCAAACATAGAGCAACACCCCTCACTCCCATTACCGTTCACATTCCCACTTCGGCATGGACAAAGAGTCCACCGACTCGTTCATCATATTGACATATGATTGATCGCTACATAATAGCAAATGTGAACCAAACGAGCTTTGGAAATTGCCATTTAAAATTATGATGGCATTTTGCAAAAAATAAACAAATGAAAAACAAGAAAAAAGTACCTTTCCTGCATTTCAGCGAACAACTTATTGGTGTTGCACATGTAGAAGTCGGCGGCGGCCTCGAAGGTGGGCACGTCGAGACATCTCCGTGAAGGAGGAAGAAGCAGTTGTGGCACAATGAGGAACGTTGCCTCCTTCCTCCCCCGCAACGCCGTTGCATACAGGTCACATGTCTTACTGTGCGCTTAGGCCAGGGCGACAATGTTGGTCGAGGGTGGAGGTGGTTGCAACGGTCGGCAGCACAAGAGCGGCGTGTCAACGCAGAACCTGTGAGGAGAGGGGGGATCGGTGACCTTCACAGGTAGCAGGAGATGGATGTGCTCATGAAACTTCAATTGGAAGAGGGGTTGTTGCTTCCAGCCACCTATTGGGGTGGTATCAGGAATGTTCAATTTTTTGAGACAGCAATTTTCCCTAAATAAGTTGAGATGTTTGCTCCCCAATAATTTTTGCGGATTGGGCCTCTGCTGGAGCAGGTTTTTTGGCACAACCCCCCAATGTCAGATTTTTTATATTGGTTACAAGGGGACACTGCTTTCTTCTTCTATAGATTCCCCTTTATGGTTCAGAAAATAAACAGTTTATGCTAAACTTTCAGCTGACATGTCTGCAATAGTGACAGACAACGCATCGCTTATATGGCTTCCTGAAGCTCAGGCGAGCAAATCTTAAAGAACAAAGCCACGTAGAATGCATAAGGACATGCAGCTCCGGTTAACGAAGTGCATACAAGCTGAACTGCCACCGCGACACTAGCTTCCCGCAACAAAAGGGTATGTCTTTCTTTTTTCCTTTTTCAAATCCAGAAAGACACGTCTTAGGCGTCTCAATCTAACCTAGTTGAGAGGCGCGCACGCGCACAGACTACCTCCTCTCCTATACAGCCCTCAGATGAAGCCTCCACCAAGTCTCTACAATGGCTTTCCACCCTAACTCAAGTTCGCCGTTGTACTGATGAGTTTAGATTGGACAGCAAAGCCTGAAACATAGGCCAACGGTTACCCCTGAATGGAAATTGATAACTCACATCATTCTGTTTCAGAAAGAACAGACGGAGAGTCAAAGTGAAAATACCTGATGGTTGCTCCATCATATGCACTTCATTCTGCTGTAGCTGTACTGACGCCCACAACCTGATCCATGGCAGAAAGAGGATTGGTCAAACAGATCGGATCAATCTTCAATTTAGTTTTCGCTGGCCATGGTCTGACTCTACATTGCGACAGTGGTTTCAGGGGGGTAGTTGCCCGCCACTAATATACTCCCAAAACGTCTTATATTTAGCAACAAAGGTCTACATGTGACAGGTTATCACGATGGAAATCAATTATGCCCAGAATTTGCCACTACCTGTGCTACTAGTATCTATTTTGGAATAACTGCTAATACAATTTTGAGAAACGAACAAATACTAGTCATGAACTAGTAGCAACAGCAGTAACAAGCAACTCTAATGCATACAAATGATTCATTAAATTCGTGCAAAAAATACTTCTGTAACAATAATCAAGGAAATCCGGAGTATGTGATAAGATGGGGTTGGCTGTTTGTCATGGCAATAATCTTGGTCATGAGCAATCGCACTATGTAAAATCCTGGAGCTGGTAAAGAAACGAGTTCATAGTCTAGACGTGTTTATGGTACAAGTACGAACCAGCTAGAATCATACTCAAACATGATCATTTCTGAGGCTGCTGTTTCCAGTATTCCGTAGCACCTAGTTCCTTACCAAGGCTGTGTGCATCAACCAATGCAGAGGCTGGAGTTGTCCCCTTTTCAAAATAAAAAAAAATCTAGTTCCTTGCTAAACATTTTATAGCTGTTAATGCTGCACGATATGGAGGACGCAATGACTTGGACAGATTAAAGCCTAACAATTATTTTGAGAGGATAGTATGCCCTCTACAGGTTAAAGTGAAATTAGTTTCACAAATTAGTGTTTCTACTCTGCTGGGCAACCAAGCAAAAGTTCTGCTCTTTCTAATTTACTGTACATACAGGTTGATGCCTTATTTTTCCGAGATTGTGGTTGATGCTTTTACATACCTGTGAAATGTATTCTTTAAGCTTCGAGCTGATGGATTCATCCAATGCCCTCTCTGCAAGCTCATAAACCATGGAATGGCCTTCTGGACCAGCAATCTTCTCCTTCAGCAAGTACCTGGGCAAAGATACCAGGTCAAAAAAGGCAAAAGTTGCCAGTGAAATCCACTCTGCAGCACGCCCTGAAAGTACCAGCAACCTTTGTTGCACTAGTAGTTCAAGCGCCTGCTTATTGTTGCCGAGAACAGGGTGGTTCTCATCAGTCTCGTTTAAGCCCAGCCGTTTAAGCTGACGCCAAAGGTCCTCTGAAACGTGTTTGTCAAAAATCAGTAATATCAAACGATAAAACCTCTTGACTACTGCGAGAAAAAGAACCAGCAATCCCTACCTTCAGAGATCTTGCCACCAGCGACATGAACAATGCTTATGACAACAAAAGCAAATCCAGACACATGGGCACGCTCCTTATCCTCGACATACTTGCTGTACACCTCAGGGTCCAGCTTACTTACCAGGACGTAGCTCTTTGCGTCCTGATTACCTAAACACAGCTCGAGGTCATTCTTAAGCTCAACCACTTTCTACCTTACTACATCATCAGCAAAGATCCAGGCTGCCGTGTGGGCGACGACATTGCAAGATCTAAAGAAGAAGAAAAGCAAGCTTACTGGGCTGCTGGGAGGAGGGGCGTCCAGAGCGGGTGGACGTGGAGCGGGTCCTCTGGAGCTCCCTCATCTCATAGCCGAAGGTCGCGGCAAGCCTGTCCCCAGTCTCCTTGATGACGAGCGCAGGGAGCGCTCGCTGGCGGTAGTTCTTGGTGATGATCTGCGTGAGCTCCTCCCGCTTGATGGGGCAGCCGGAGTTCTGGTGCGTCTTGAAGAGCGCGTAGCGCATCACCTCGGCCACCAGCTTGTCCTTCTCCTGCAGGGCCCGGTTTGGGCGGATAAAAACGTCGAACACCTTGCGTGCGGAGGACGAACTGGGAAACGGGGAGGAGCAGGGTGTGGCGTACCTCCGTGGAGATGTCGACCTGGGCGAGTTCGTCGCTGGTCGCCATGCGATCCAAGAACTGTATGACGGAGAGGAGAGCGAGAGGGATTGCGGCGATTTGGGGCGGAGCAGAAGAACCCTAGGCTCGCAGTAAGCGGTTTGTTTTCGTGGTAGAGTGGCGCGAGGGAGACACGGCGGGAAACTGAACCGAGCGGATGGAGGGAGCGGAGACGCGCCCGCGCTAGAGCTTTAGAGGATAAAGGGACAGAGGTATCCTCAGTCTATCTCTAATTCTGATGCTCGCATTTATTTTTGTATTTATTTTAGGATTTAAGTAGGATGTGTATATGTGCGTTTATAGGGATAAGTATATGCCCGTATGTATGAGTGTTTAAGTCTGCACTGATGTTCAAAAAAACTCCAATGCGTGACCCTAAATGGTCCGGCCGCGGACCGTCGTTTATTTTTCGTCCGCTTTTTCCGTCCCAAAATTGGGCCGTGTTTGCTGTCGAACAAACATGCGCGAGCGGGTGCGGCGCGCGCCCTAGTCCTCCCTCGCCCGCCAATCGTGGACAAAGCCACTTTTCTCTTCCCTTTCTCTTCCCTCCTTCCCTGCCATCGCCACCGCCACCCCCATTCCCGGCCGCGTTGCCTTCTATCAAGGTCATCCGCCCCACAACCACGCCATGTCATAGCCGCCCCACGCACGCGTTTCGGTACAATTTTTTTGCCGGCGTTCGTGGTTCCTTGTTGCCGGTGGGAGAGAAGCTACGGCCGCCATCGCCGTTCGTTGACCCCAACAACTTTTGGCAGGCGCTGCATTGCGGTAGCACGCCCACCCCATCAGCACCAATGTTGTGTCGTTTAATCGACTTGCTCTTTCCGGCCGCCTCTCCACCACGCCCGCAAGGTGTTCGACCCGTCGCTCACAAGGTATCATGGATAGCGGCGATGAGTTTTTCTTTCACAACTCCATTTGTTCATCGGATGATTCGTACTCAGATGATAAAGAGCTTGTGGCGGTTGCATTGGTCGTCCACGACCACTTTAATAGGAAGTGGCCTCGGTACATGGGATCAATCCCCGGCCATGTTCCAGCCTTGAACCACAATAGGGAGAGAGGCTACACCCTTCTCTACGCCGATTACTTTGAGAACATCGCTCTTTTCAAACCTCACAAATTTTGCCGCCGTTTTCGTATGGCGAGACATGTGTTCAATCGTATTCGGGAGGAGTGGTAGCATATGACCCATACTTCGAGTGCAAAGAGGATGCCCTTGGCAAGCTTGAATTCTCTTCTTAGTTCTTACCTGAAATGCACTATGGCCATCCACATGCTTGCATATGGAATTCATGGTGATATTATGGATGAGTATATATGTATGAGTGAGTCCACATGTCTCCTCTCAATGTATAGCTTTTGCAAGGCCGTGGTGGCAATGTTCGGCCCTGAGTACCTAAGAGAGCCAACTGCCACTGATACAGAGAGGTTGTTGGCGATCAATGCCAAGAGGGGCTTGCCGGGCATGCTTGGTAGTATTGGTTGTATGCACTGGAAGTGGAAGAACTATCCATTTGCTTGGCAGGGGCATTACAAGGGGCATGTGAAAGGTGCTACTGTCATACTTGAAGCGGTGGCTTCACAAGATCTGTGGATATGGCATTCTTTTTTGGGCATGGCTGGTTCTCACAATGATATCAGTGTTCTTTAGCATTCTCCAATGTTCGCAAGGCTTGCAGAAGGCCAGTCGCCAGAGCTCAACTTTGACGTCAATGGCCACCAGTACAACAAGGGATGTTACCTTGCTGATGGTATCTATCCACAGTGGTTCAGTCTTGTGAAGACCATATCCAATCTACAAGGAGAGAAGAGACAGAGGTTTGCCCAAATGCAGGAGAGTGCTAGGAAGGTTGTGGAGCATGCTTTCGGTGCACTTCAGTCTCGATGGGGTATCGTTCGGAACACTGCATTGACATGGAGCACGTAGAAGCTTTGGGAGGTAATGAGTGTTTGTGTGATCATGCACAACATTATCGTGGAGGATGAGCGTGATGAAAGCATCTACGGCCAAGGTTTTGATTTCCAGGGTGAAAATGTCGAGCCTGAGCAGCCACCTCCTGCAACCTTCGAACAGTTTGTCCATTTTCATCGTGAATTGCGGGATTGGCGTACTCATGTCCAGCTCTAGGATGACTTGGTTGAGCACATGTGGACTCACATTGGCAACCAGTAGATCTATCAATTTAATTTATTTTCATGCAAACACATTTCGATTTGGGCTGCAAGACTATTTGATATTGTTTTCTTTCGATTGGGTCATAAGACTATTTCGGACGTATAACAATTTGCTATGTTTGATTTGTACCATTTGATATGCTTCATTTTAGTGTGCTGGTAGAACGGACGAGATGCGGCCGCACGTTGGCCGCACGGCCGTCGCATCCAGAAATCCGGGTGGACACGGCCCCATTGCCACCCCCAAACGAATGAAAAGTGGACAAAACAGACGTCCATTTGGGATTGTGCGTTGAAGTTGGCCTTAAAACTACAAACTCTAAAACTAGGACAAGAGTCGAAAAAGGCATTTTAAGGGTTCATTTTAGATACGGCCGAACAAATACTGTAAAACTTGGATAAGAGCTCCTTCCTCCAGCCCAGCCAGCGCCCGCCCCTTCCCCCAGCCAACCGCGCCGGCCGCGCCGGTCGCGACTAGCCCCGTCGATACCGGCCTCGCCTCGTCCCCGCCGGCCGCGTCGGGAGGATTTTGGTGGCTAGGTTGAGGTCATGGGAGGCCACGACGAGGTCGAGCTCGTCTAATTCCAACCGACGACGATCGATTCCGGCGTCTATCGGTCTTTCTAGGTGTGCGGTGACGAAATCCGGCGAGTTTCAGGCAGATTCCGGGAAACTCCGTGGCGGCGTGTTTGCTCCGACGAGGTTTGACCATTATATAGGCCCCCCTTAGGTCGGCCTTCCAATATTCAAATATAAGTGTCTCGGGTGTGGATTTTTGGCGCCCTTTAAAAAAATTACGGGTTGGACCATTTTTACGGTTTCTGTTCTCGACACTTTTTTCAACCAAAACCTTAAAACGCAAAAATTATAAGGGTTTGACCACTTTTAGGGGGTATGCTATCTCTAGCAAACCCCTTAACCCGCGGAACTGAAAACACATTTTTCAGTTCGTGAAAAACGCATTTTAAGAGCACCTTGTCGGGGATATCTAGCGACATATGCCAAGGGTGGCTTATCATGGATGGGGACAGGAGTACGTCAACGGGCCCTGGAAGCGAGAGTGAGTGAGATCTCGAATGCCTATGAGTCTTACCCAGGTTCGGGGCTCTCCGTGGAGATAACACCCCTAGTCCTGCTCTGCAGGGTCTCCGCATGATGACTATCGTCAATAGGTGGCTACAAGGTTGCTCCTTGAGATGTTCGGCTAGAGGAGGAAGAAGGGCAAGGCTAGTTCCTTTGCCTCTCTAGCTATGTGAGTGTATGATGGCTAGGGTCCTGAACCCTTTGCATGGGTGAACCTGGGGGGTTTATATATGCCTACCCCCAGGGGTACAATGGTAATCCGTCCGGGTGTAGGACCCGAATGTCAGTGCCTCTTGACGCTGGCTGCTGGGGCCCGCCGCTTGGTGGGTCCCGCCGGCTGCTGTGGACTCGACCGATAGGTAGGGCCCGCCATGTGCGGGCCATGCCGACCGCCTTTTAATGTAGCCTTGCCCTTGGTGACGAAGGCCTCGTCAGGGGTCGCATGGCTACAGTCCCGCCGCCTGGCGGGCGTTTACTGTAGCCACTCTCTGTCTCATCAGATTAATGGTGCGCAGACTCCTAGGGGAGGGAGGGCCGCCTGCTAGAGTTCGGCCCGCCCTCGAGGCCGACTGCTCGGGGTGCGCCGTCTTCTAGTTGCTCGCGGACAGGTAGGGCCCGCCGCCTGCGAGTCGTACCGACCGCCCATCATGGGAGCATGGCCCTAGCTGACGTAGGCTGCGTCACGAGTCGCGTGGCTATAGTGTCGCGCTGGTCGAGGGGTGTCCGCTTGGTACGCCTGCACTGTGGCCACGCTCCTTTGGGATTCGGGGGTGGCAGATGGTCATGTAGCCACGCCCCGTCTCATCATAATAAATGGGTGCAAACTTTGAGGGCACACAGGGCCACCTGCTAGGTGCCGGCTCCTTGAGGCCACCTTCTGAGAGCTCGCCTTCTTCTAGCAGCCGACCCAAGGAGTCGGTCGTTCATCCGGAAGGTGTGAGGGGCTTTGCTAGCCCCGATGTCTTGAAGTGTTATGGGGTGCTGATGAGGCTACCCGTGGTCAATCCCTTCGACAGTAGTCCCCGAAGGTGGTGGGGCGCCGTGGCTCACATCTACGAGCCTCCGCAGCTTCCTACTCCGAGTGGTCTTGTATTCTTGCTTCGTCTGGCATCGGGTGATGTCGCTTGCTAGGAGCCGGCCGCCTGGTGAATTATTGTCATTGTGATGGGCGCCGTGTGGACGTCACCGGGTGCAAGGTCTGCCGCCCGTTGCTCGCTTGCCACGCGGCGCCAGCTAGCCAGGCCGGCCTGCTAGCCCACGCGCACGATGGGACATCGCGCAGGCCTGGGCCCGCCACTACAGGGCCTCGGCGCGCGCGCGGATCCGCTGCGGCTGAGGTGGATGGTTGCCCTTCTCAAGTGCATTAATCGCGCGCCATAAAGGCGCAGAATATGCGGGGTCGTGCAGGGCGTGGGCGCAGTTAATCCCCCGTCCCCACGACGCGTTGTCTGGGCTTCGTCGTTGCCGCCGCGGTTATAAGTAGAGGGAGGGGGCGCGGTAGAACGCACGCGTGCCCCCACCTCGCTCTCCATCTTCTTCCTCCGTCTCCTCTGCTTCCTTGCTGTTGTCGTGCGACCATGCCGTCGAAGCGCCCTGTAGCTTGTCGTCGCTTGACTTCTCTGCACCGCCGCGGCCTCGCCATCGCGTGACCTCGCCGCGCCGCCACCAAGCAACCACAAGCAATGGCTTGAGGCGACTGGGATGGTTCGAACATCCACGACGACCACCTCGAGTTCCTCTGCCAGATG